TAACACATTCCTTAGAAATACCTTTTCGATAAAAATCAGACCCTCTCTCTAGATCGGGCTGTTACAAAATAGTGTGTTCATGCTGTAGGGTCCATGTGGTAGAGACCTGCATGCCCATACATAAGAGGTTATCTGGACACAAAATAGCCTGCAAGGGTATGAGGGTCCAAAAATCGAAATCGGCCGAATACGTCTGGCACCGGACACCATATAGACTGATTTAATGCCAAACGCGTAGAGGGATATGGAGACTATACAATTGAGTGGAAAATAATGTAAGCTAAAAAGAGCAACAGAACAGCCAACACCCAGAATAGAAGTAATGAGTGCAAGTAAGTAAGTGGGAACAACTTGTACCTGTTGGATAGTATTGGGGAAAGGGGTGGAACGAGAAGTACCGGCGAGCAAAAGAAAGAGGCTTGATTATGCTCGAATCTGATTTTGACTCTCACATTTCATACAATTCAAGAACAGTGCATACACACAGTATACGTGCAATGGAACGTAATGACATGCAGCAACAGTGCCGCATCAAAAATATGCGTGATTTAGGGGAGGATGCAGCTGTTTGATCACAATTGCATCTATTTCACGCTTCATCTGCAGCTACTTCAAATGTCATCCGCAGTCACTTCAATTTTTAACAAGCATGTAAGAAATACAGAAGATATCCAACCAAATCATGAGATAGCTCATTAACCGGACAAAGCTAGGCTATTAGAAGTAGGTAGGATTGCCCCTGGCCACCTTGCTTGTCTTCATGTTTTGGTGAATTATCGCAAAATATGGTGTCCTGCTCTGACGATGGCCATCACACGATCAACTAAAGATCAGAAAGGATTCATCGGGATCGCAGAGCGGAGCGCCAAGTACCTTTATTCGCACAAATGTAGTCACAGCACCGAGGCGATCCCCTTTTCAGCTTCCAGTGAGACCAACTTACGAAGCCCCTTCATTCGCATCTTCTAACGAAATAAAAGGTACTCTAACATAAATGATATGATATGGGATAAGGGGAAGAATATTTTGCTAAATTTCACACCGTCATAACTTCACACTATCATATTTATCCCAGTCTGCCACAGAGACAATAAATATGTATATGAATAAGAGTTATCGACCCTCTAGGTTGGATAAAGTGACGGGGTGGCAGTTGAATTTTTCTATAGGGCTTGACTTAAATGCCGCCCCTAAGCATCCAGCACATATAACCGGTACTCCAAGTATACGCAGGCTCCCTCATGCACAGTCGAACTATGGGGCCTTTGGCTAGTGACATGTAGTGCCATTGAGGAGCCATTCTTGTAGCTTACAAAGTGCTGTTTTAGGCATTTGTTTTATGATTTCGTTATTGCCGGCCCTGAGAGTATGCTACTTAATTACGGGAAGAATTTAAAGTTACATCATGTTGCGTAGCTAGATGTGACAATAAACGCTATCTAAGAGGTTCGCAAGTCTTTTGTCAGTAATAGTCACCAAGTGTAAAAGAGTATTAGATATGAAGATCAAGATGCTGTGGCCTTCTGTTTGTTCGTAGTCTCCTTTAGCTTTGCAGTGTTGGTTCGACCTTGTTTTCGCAACTTGGTCGGAGCGTCAGGGAAACCTTATGTAACGTACCTAGTCCTGTGTTTTCTGCCATAGTATTCGTGATTTTCAGCATTTAGCCATTGGCTAGGTACATTCCCAAACGTTTCGCCGGCATCGTAGTCGACATAGTCAGTGAGAGGTGTCATCGTAAGCACAGAGCTACAACTTATCAATGACTTGTCACTAGACCAAGTTGCGAAAACAAAGTCGAACCAAGACTGTAAAAGAGTATGGTTGTCAAGGCTGTGGTTACGCAACCACAGTTAGAATAAAATTTTATTCATATTAAGGATTTTTTCTCTAAAGTTTGTGACTAATTTAACGTTGATAAGTACACAAAGTAGAAAGTAGTACAATTTATAATAAACAATTACAACACAGAAAGATTTTGAGTAGAATTACAAGTTATAAGAACTTATTTTAGATCTTAATCTTTGCTCTGTAAACACCACGCCAATAAGTGTTCGGTGTCCCGGCAATGCTCACTACATGAATGGGGAAATTAAAGTAGTAATTTATCACTAATAAAAATCGCATTAGACCTTAGTTGCTGGTGTGAATGTAAGATATATTGTTCTTAAACTCTTTTATTCTCATTATTTTAAAATGATGTCAGGAATAATTGTCTTCTTGTTCGAAGGGATGGATATTTGGTGCTTATAAAATCAAAGGCACATGAGGGTGGATAACGCAACAAACCTGCAAAATTCGACTCTTTTTGTTCAATTCATGTGTTAAGCTGACAATCTGCTCCTGCATACTCTCGATCTTGTCAGTCATATACATTTGCTTTCTCTGAAGGCGATCAATCTTGTCAATCAAAGCTTGACGGTCTGGCTCAATCACTTGGATTTCGAGGGAATCTTGGAAGTCGCCAGTTCGGTTGCTATTCAAAGGGGAATTGACATTGATATGATGGAGTGAAATAGGTGATAGTGAAGAAGATATATGTTCAGTTGAAAGACTGCCCTTAGTGCCTAAGACGCTGATGTCTGAAGAACCCACGTCCGGCAAAAGTTGAGTGCCGATCGGACGGGACGTGTGGTAGGAAGGCACATCAGGAAGGAGGGGAGACAGAGGAAGCTGATCATGATTATTATGACTATCAGTCAACGAGTGTGAATCAGAATTCCGTGATGTCATACCAGTGGCCAAAAGAGAGCTGCCCAGTAGAAGGGAGGTTGGCTTGCCACCTGAGAGAGAAGTCGAGAAAGCCTGTGTGAGGGGGATAGTGAGAGGAGTATAAGACACAAAATAGAAGAAAAAGCAGGAAATGAAGATAGATGAAGATGGGAATTAGTAAGAAATTAAGTTAACGAATCGAAAGGAAAGCGTTTTAGGGCAAACATTATAGTACGAAGGCATTGAAAAATATTTTAGAGCCCTTACTCGTTAAGGGAAATTATAGAAAACTTTGGTTTTATCAGCTCAAATAAGTACTCAATCTAGCTATTGTTGGGGAGACTTTCAATTCGGATAAAAGTTCGTGAAGAAGCGATTCGAAGGGCGATCTCACCTGAAGACAACGGCTGATTCCCATTATATTGCAGCCGTTTTGGTGTAATAAAATTTTCTGGTTGACGCAATCCATGAAACATCTTCCCTCGTTTCGAGTAAAAATGGGCCGAGCCTTCTTCCACCATATGATAGAACGAAGTCTCACCAACAAGGTTATCACAGGAGAGTCATCAAAACCCAGTTACTCTGCGTATCTACAGTGAATTTAACTGATCAGGAGATTAGGAAGAATCAGCCAAAGCAGCAAAAGGCACCAAATGTACTATTCGGGGAATGATAATGGCTTAATACCGAACTTGCGCTTCCTTACTCATCGTTTAGTCATTAAAAACCCTAATCGTAT